CAATATTACTCAACTAGCTTTTTGGAGTTAGGAGTTATAACTGTAAAACGTCAACATAGAGAATTATGTACCCAACTGCCTTACTACTAATTAGCAATGTGCAGTATGCTATGTAAAAGAACGGAAAAAATTCAAATGAAAAAAAAAAACCATTCCTGTAAAGTAAATCAAAGTGTAACGTGTGCACATCCGTACACGCATATTCAAAAAGATATTGTTTACAAACTGTGTGTATAACTAATAGTAGGCTGTAATGACAAAAAAATCCAAAAGCTTTATTGGAGTAATCTCTTTGAATGAACACAAAAGTCAAAATGTGATATTCCATTGAGGACCTATATAAAGCATGAGCCAGAAAGAGGGCTGTGAAAATATCTATAGACCTCTCGCATCCTGGACATAAATTGTTTCAACTTACCCTGTACCTCAAAACGACACTATAGGGCACTGCACATCAGAACAACTAGACACAAGGACAGTTTTTTCCCCATGCCATCACTCTGCTAAACAACTAATTCACACAACTGTCAAACTATCTAGAAAGGCAGTATTACCATGATTATTCTCATTTTCTCTTACCTATCTCCTTATTTTCTTATATGTTGCTTGTATCTTACTATTTATATTGTTTACATAGTATCCTAGTATGATTTATGTTGATTGCATATTTAGTATTCATGACTATTACTGACTGTTGCATCTAATGTTTTATAATGAATGTATGTTTACAAATTCCTTGTGTGTCTAATCACACTTGGCCAATAAAGAATATTCTATTCTATTTTATTCAGCATCTTTTGATCTGTTCCTGTTAAACAGAATTGAGGGGAGAGAAAAGCAATACTGAAGTGATGACATTTAACTTAGTTTTATGATAGAATATGGTAATATCCCATCATAAAATAGTGCCAATATTGATAGGAAATTGTACTTAATATAGTAATTGTAGTTACACCCAGGATTGTCATTGTGATTGCCAGAATGATATATTAACTCTCAGGTTGTTCTCCATTTTTCGTTTCTCTACCTCTGTAGAGGTAGTTAATGTAACACTGGTTACTGTATTAACCCATTTTCTGAATTTCATAATATATTAAGCTAATCATGAGCTTCTGAGGGCGGGTTTTTATTTAATTTGTCAAGAAGTCATTGTGCAAATAACATGGCATCTTTGTGACTTATATGGGATACCTGTGCATCGTTTCTAAGCCTCAATATAATTAAACTAATATATTGTCAAAACTGCAGGGTGTTACTTGACTTTACTTGGAAGCATGTTGAATGGACCCAGCCTCTAGAAATAGAACAATTTCAGATAATTTATGTGTCTGGCAATTATTGAAATGCTGGCATTGTCTGTGACATTGTGGAATATAATGCTTGCAACAAAATTGTATAGTAAAATAGCCAAGTCTCCACCCCAATGTTATTTAGCTTTTTTGCTTGAGTGTGGTTGCTAATTTCTGTCTTCTTCAGCCAACTACTAAAACCTATTGTGTTACGACGTGCTCCTCCTTTTCCATTCCCTCTTGCATTTCAGCTTTTTTTTTTTTTTTGCTTTATAAAGCAAGTTGTAGCTTTGACTTGAAACAAAACAGTTTTGTCTTGAAGCAAACGTTTCCAGATTGCTGGATGGATGACTTGGCATAGTTCTCCATATTTTTTTTAAGTCTCAAATAAGCAGGAAAAGATGAACCAAGCAGGAAAAGGTGAACAAAACAAAAATGTAAGGAATGAAGAGTTTGTTGGTTTATATTTCCTGTAGAGAAAGTCACCTTATTTCATTACATGAAATAGCTAATATATTGGTAGAAAGGGTTGAAGTGGATTTATTGATATTCTCTCTCTCTCTCTCTCTCTCTCTCTCTCTCTCTCTCTCTCTCTCTCTCTCTCTCTCTCTCTCTCTCTCTCTCTCTCTCTCTCTATATATATATATATATATACATACATATACATACATACATACATACATACATACACATACACACACATACATACATACACACACACACACATATGTATTTGTTTTCGTTGCCAAGATACTCTCAATCTTACATGCGAAAAGACCCAAATACACCAAGACCTGCGTGCGTGTGTGTGTGTGTGTGTGTGTGTGTGTGTATCCATATCATATTAAAAGGGAAAGGGATAGTTAGGAGTAACTGTTGCAGCAGAAACAAATACGGTTCTAAGACCTACTGTACCATTGACTGTTTTTGCTAAAAATATAACTGACAGATTAAGCAGGTTGTGATCTGAAGGCGCAACCTATTTTTTTAAATTAAATAGATTTAGGACTGAGTGGTTGAAAAGCCATTAAACTGTCCATATAATAAATGAGTTGTTTTAATAGATTTTGTTCTTCTGTTTGTTGTAGAATTCATAAAATCTGGTTGGTTCTGACACAGATACAGCATTTCCAATTAGTTAATTGAGACTGAAGAAACATAGAGCAACTGCTTATTTCCTCCCAATTTTTCCATTCTTGCAAGAAAACATTGTGTTCCTGCTTTTCCTTTGATATAGATTTAATGTATAATGCTCTTTATATTAATCACGATTAATTCATTAATCATTCACTTAATCAGGGGTGTCAAACTGGATTTCTTTGAGGGCCGGATCAGCATTGTAGTTCTCCTCCGCAGGCCGGCTGGGGGAGGGGGGGAGATGGGACAGAGGCATCCTGCAGCTCCCTGCCAGCCAAAATGGGGTGCAGGGGGGTCTCACACGCCTACCCTTTGCCCTGTTTTCAGCATGGATGGCCTCCTGCGGCACCCTGCTGGCCGAAACAGTGTGTGGGAGCTTTGTGCGCTCCCCCGTGCCCTGTTTTGGCCGGCAAAGTGCAGTGGGAGGTCATCCAGGCCGAAAATGGGAGGTGGGGGGGCATTTGGCTGCCAGAGGCACCGTGGGCCGGTCCTTTGCTATTTGCAGGACAGCCCTGCGGGCCAGATTTAAGCATCCATGGGCCAGATCTGGCTCGCAGGCCTTGAGTTTGACACCCCTGACTTAAATGATTGGCTCCTTGTCAAACTGAGAGGTTGAAACTGACTGAAATACAGTCAGTATATACAGAAAGCAATCCTAATTTGGTGCACCACCCCTCTTTCTGTAATAAATTACGAATAGGAAAAATGATTTACTCCAAATTGAGATAATAGAACAGAAGACAGGTCCTGTGGCATTATCCACACATATGTTCTGTTGGTGCAGACTTTTATACTATAAATTATAGTGATAGGATAGGCAAGCTCTTGGGCACATAAAAGGCTAATTATTGTGAATGGGGCTTAGTTAATGGATAAATTAACTTATTTCAATCTGCCCAGTCTTGATCTATGAGGACCCAGTACACCAAAAGCTGTCATTTCTGCCTGGCTTTGTTTATTAACTTTTGTTTTCACAGCCACATCAGTGCCTATCTGTGTGCGAGCAAGAATGTTCCGGGTTTTTCAATCCTGAGTAATAATCACTAGACTATTTCAGGAATCTAGCCACAAAATGCATTTAAAATATGCTTTTGTTTGGAAGTAATTGAATCAGCCCATAATACATAAGAAAACTGCTTTCAGGGTTTTTTTTTTAAGTACTGTTTTTGCCAGCATAAGCTCTTTTATTTTTCTTTACTCCAGCCGTAGCAATCTTGCTTCCTTTTTTTTTTTTTAAAGGATTGGATAAAGCTAAGGGTTGTAAGTTGAGAGGGGAAGGGGAGACAGCTAAGGTATAAATGAATTTCTCAAGTATTCTTAAGAAATTATTTCATATTAGATTAACTGAGCATTACTTTTGTGGCTTAAATGCAATAATCAACTCAGAGCACCATTAATTTTTAATCAGAAATGAGGATCATGCTCAGGATATTCAGAATAATTTAATATACTGTGGGTGAAGAATATGCGGCTCAATACATTGAGCTGTGGTGACGCAGTAGTTAGAGTGCAGCACTGCAGGCTACTTCTGCTGGCTACTGACTGCCTGCAATTTGGCAGTTTGAATCTCACCAGGCTCAAGCTTGACTCAACCTTCTACCCTTCCAAGATGGGTAAAATGAGGACCCAGATTGTTGGGGGCAATACGCTGACTCTGTAAACCACTTAGAGAGGACTATAAAGCACTGTGAAGCAATATGTAAGTGCTAAGTGCTATTGCTATTTTATGACATCTTTTCCAAAAATCGGTACTGCATCTTGGGGTCCCAGCCATGTATTTAGGAAGTCATTTCAAGGAATTGTTGCAACTTGCGTGCACTTTAGAGCTGAAACAGCACACGTATTGTAAAGGGAAACTGCTGTAGACAATGTGTGTGTGTGTGTGTGTGTGTGTGTATAATATGCGAACATTTTCTAAGAAAGTATGATAGCTGGTTGAAAAGTAGAAGAATAGCCATCACCATAAAAAAAAAAAATTGAGACTCTTCACAGATGTGCTGTGCAAGGAATGGGAAGAAGGCTGTATTTTTAAGCTTTTATTCATGAGGCAACCTCCAAAATTCTCCTTCAGTTTATTTTAGGACTAATTCATTGGCGGTCTGTGCCTGCAGTAAGAAGTAAAGCCAGTTGGATAAATGAGATGATGCCATATACATTGTCACTATTGTATAAACTGAAAGCAGTGTGGTTTTTGTTAGTACGTTGGAGTGTTTTATCGTTCATGCATGGGCCCGTTGAGTTGTAAGTCCATTCAATATACAAAGCCGTTCTTGTTTAATTTTAGGATGCAGATGGTTTGCTCTTCAGTTTTGCTTTGCTGGGTGGAGCTGCTTTGCTGCTCAATCTACTGATCTTTGGTTGTTTGAAATAAGACTTTGATTAACAGCTGATGTAAATTTGGCTAAGCTGACATGTCCCACTGATTAGCATTATCAAGCATGAATTAAGTCAATGGGACTTCAAAAAGTGTTTGATCTGCATTGTGATTTTAGAAGCTACATTGTAATGCACCCTATGGGACTTTGGGATAAATTGTTTTAGAAGCCATGTAATCTGTTTCCTTTTCTCTTTCAGAGCACCTGCAGCTCCAAAGCCAGATCCAATTCCCGTGCAGCAGGTAAGGGGTTCTTCCCCAGTTCCCAAGTACAGGAGAATTCCTGTTGTAGCCAATTTACTCTTTCCCGTCTCTCAATGCTCTGTTTAATCAGTGCCGTCGATCTGAAAAGCTCTTCCAGTGCAACATGGTTGTGTTGTATGTCCCATTTCATGCATAGGGTCATACTTCGAAAGATGCTATTTTGGAATCCTTGAGATATGCTATTTTCTTTGATCTAAACATTTGGTGCTAAGGTGTAATTTTTGGCTTTGAAAGTCCTCCTTACTGCAGCTGTTTTGGCATTGGCCAAATTTATATCGGGTGACAAACGACCAATATAAAAGTTATAAGGTTTCAAAATCAAGAACTAACATGGGAAAATATCTATTGTAGCTCTTTCAGACTTTTCTTTGAGTTGAGTTCAACTCCTGGGGATTTAATGATCACCCTTCCACAGCTTTTTTTTTTTTTTTTGTAACAGTGAAGAAGTGATTTGCACAACTTTTCCATTCCAATGTATTTTCCCTCTTTCTAATCCAGTCTACCATCTTGGAATTTCCTAATCATTCTCCATCCCAATGCTAACCAGCCCTAGTCCAGTTTACCTTCCAAACTTAGATAAAAGTTAAAAAACTGTTCCTACTTATAGAGATCAGCCATGTTCTTAAAAGGCCCTGTTCAATTCCCTAAAATTCTAAGAGCAACTGACTACAAGCATGTTTAGTAGGAGCTTTATAACAAGGTGCAAATGAAATTAGATAAATAGGTACCACTTTTGCGGGAAGGTAACAGTGTTCTGTGTGCCTCATCATCTAATCATGCTGGTCACATGACCACAGAAGGACCATGAAAGGACCGTACAAGTTCCTTCAGCTAAGAAATGGAGATGAGCACATAATAATATAATCATGCTGTCCAAATGACCACAAAAGGACGAAGCTGGATTCTCCCGCTAAGAAATAGGTGAGCATCATGTCCTAGAGTTGGACTTGACTGGACAGAGAAAATGATTACCTTTATCTTTTATAAGAAGGTGGCTTAATGTAAGACTTTTCCTGCCAGATCTCTAAAGATATGATACAATTATGAAGAGGAGTCTGTAAAGATGCAAAAAGATTTGCTTTCCTTAGTAGAATGTGATATCTAATAGGTGCCTGTTGATTTGCTTAACTACATTACAGATAAAATTCATGTACAGCAAGTCTGATGGCTATTGTAGTACAGTGAACTGAGTAAAAGAAGACACACTCACATTTTGTAGCAAAGATAATGTGAGTTTGCCTTTAAGTCAGGCCTATCAAACTGGCGGCCACACCCACAAAAAAAACATCCCAATATGTTGCGATACAGCCTGATATGTCACGATACGGCCCACGGTGCGATCGGTTCTGAGACTCCTGCTTTAAGTTAAGTTAAGATAGTAATGGCTTTTGAATGAGGAGAAGGTAAGATGAAGAATACTCAGCCTGATTATATGCAATAAAACTTGTAATTTTCTTTTTCTCTGGTGTCAGAGTTTGATACGACTTCATACTATTTTCAAAACTAACTTCTAAAAAAAATAAATTGGTCATTTGTCACTGGAAAGTAGGGACATTGTTCCAATATAGTCCTGTCTGAGACACATAATCCTTTAATAAGTAAAAATGTCAGTATGGGGATTCTGCCTTTCACTGATAACCTGTAACCCTTGCACTGAAGGGCTGCACTTTTCTCCTAATTGTTAGATCCAATTTTACAGTGACATTTTTGGCTAAAATAAATCTAAGGCTACCAGCTCATGCATGGTTTTTTTGTTTTATGTTTTCAATGACGCACGCTGTGTGATGTTGGCAGTCAGTGCTTTACAGCCAATGCTGTGTACTTGTGCAACCAGTCAATCATCAATTGATGTTTCACAACAAAACCGCTACAGATGCCGTGGATATATTTTGCATGTGTATGCGCATGTGTGTGTGTGTGTGTGGCTTTCTTGTGTATTTTTTTTTTCCTGTTTTTATTTCACCTAGGTAGAGCCCAAGGACCTAGTTAAGCCTGTGCCCATTGCATCTCCAGCCGTGCCCAAAGTTTCATCCACAACCAGCGTGGCCTTCAATAAGGCTCCCAGGCCCTTTGGAGCTGTGTCCTCCTCCAAGGTCACTTCCATCCCATCACCGTCATCTGCCTTCACGCCCGCCAGTTCCAGTCTTCCATTACATGCTTCCCCTACACCTCTGGCCACTGTCACGCCTCCCCCTTTCACTGCCTCAGGAGTGCATGTTAATGTCAAAGTTAACGCTGACCAACGTTGCCCTGTGCTGAGTGCTGCAAATACCCCATGGCAATCCCCACACAATGCACCGCTCAGCGAAAGGGCCCCAGAGGTGACAGAGGGGCAGCAAAGTGGATCCAGAGAGAACCAGGGTGACAGTAATCAGCAAAATGGGTAGGTCATTTTAGGGCAGTTTTTTTTCTCCTCCTCCTCCTCCTCCTCCTCCTCCTCCTCCTCCTCCTCCTCCTCCTCCCTGTTTTAATGGTCTCCAAAGTTCTTCTTTGGTAATTCATCGATTGCACTTTCTACCTGAAATTACAAATGTTAAAAAGTCAAGTTAGTTTATAAAAGTGTAATCTGGGCAGATCTATACAGAAGGAAATTGTTTGATTTTATAAATCAGATTTATAAATTGAGGACAGTGCTGAATGTGCTCTGCTGGAGACACCAAGTTGCTATTTTCGAGGGTTCGCAGCAATTTAAGAATGACCATTGAAGATTTAAATGCACAGCAAAGCTCATCCTATCATAGATGTGTTCTTGGTTTTACAAGGGGGAAAAGGTTCACCTGCTGTGGAAATTTTTCTTTTCATCTTTCCAGCCAAGCATTTTCTGTTCTATATTCTACCCAGTTTTCTTCTTTTTCTTCATTATATTAGTACAGGGCTTTTTCTGTACTTAACAACTTCCCCCTACAGCTTTTGTTCTTATTCTTCTGCAATTTTCATTTTCTTTTTAAATTTGCAACTATATTATGGTTCTTGACTTACATTACCAACAATATGGATTTGTAAACATAATCATAGTACATATATAAATGTATTTTTATATTATAATAATTATATTTATAATGTAAGTATAAATATGAGCTGTGGTGTTGCAGTGGTCAGAATGCAGGCTAATTCTGCTGACTGTCAGTAAAATGAGGACCCACATTGTTGGAGGCAATATGCTGGCATTGTAAATCACTTGTAGAGAGGTCTGTAAAGCACCATGAAGCAGTATACAAGTCTATTGCTAATTCTGCCAACTGCCAGCAGTTTGATTCTCACTGACTCAGGGTTGACTCAGCCTTCCATCCTTCTGAGGTCAGTAAAATGAGGACCTAAATTGTTGGGGGCAATATGCTGATGCTGTAAACCGCTTAGAGAGGGCCGTAAAGCACTGTGAAGTGGTATATAAGTCTAAGTGCTATTACTAATTCGGTCAACTGCCAGCAGTTTTATTCTTACCAACTTCGGGTTGACTCAGTCTTCCATTCTTCCAAGGTCAGTAAAATGAGGACCCAAATTGTTGGGGCCAATATGCTGACACTGTAAACCGCTTAGAGAGGGCTGTAAAGCACTGTTAAGCAGTATATAAGTCTAAGTTCTATTGGTAAGTGCTTCCAATTTCTGGCAGAAAAATGTTTTGTCAAATTCCTTTGTTATTGTGAGTAGCCATGAAGCCATTAATGGGAATCTGAAGAGACAGTTACAATATGTACTGAAAATAATTATATTTCATTTTGAGGAAGGCAAGATGGTAGAAGAAAAGCTCAATCTCTCAATTCATGCCTTTTAATTTCCCATAGTTTTATTTTCCCTTCTCTCTCCCACTTAGTACATTCTACTAGGGGAAAAAAAATAAGTTCATGATTCTGTAATTTATATAGCTGATTGTCAAATATGAGTCCCCGAAGACTGTAGTTCTAGCTTATTGGAAGAGATACAGAAAATCAAGGATCTGAGAGTATGAGCTTGTGAAACCCTTGTCAGTTTTAGTAACTATTAAAAGAGTGGATCAGAATCAGGCTTAACCACATCTAAGACTGCAGCTCTATTCCCCCGATTAGAAAAGATTGGCACTGGTAATATAAGATAGGCACAAAACAAAAACAAAAAATGGTGTGGGAAAGCAAAGCTAAAAAAATGATTTCACAAAGTTTCAAAGGCATAGTTCTAAAACGGGTGTCAAACTTTATTTCATTGAGGGCTGCATCAGAGTTGTCCTTGCTGCATCAGGTTGAGTGGGGGGGGGGGGCTAGGGTGGACGTGGCAGCATGATGTCACTTGTGTTGGGGGCGCCTGTGGTCCAGGCGCTCTGCCAGTGAAAACAGGCTCCTGAGCTCCGTTTTCGGCTGTGTTGACTTCCTGCAACGCTCTGCCAGAAAAAATGGAGCTGGGGGAGCCACGTGCATCCCTTGAGAGCTCCGTTTTCAGCTGGAATGGCCTCCTGCAACCCTCTGCCAGAGAAAATGGAGCTAAGGGGGCATGCGCGGTCCTCGCAAGCTCCATTTTTGCTGGCAGAGGCACCATGGGCCGGTCCTTTGCTATTTCCAGGGAAGCACCATGAGCCAGATCTAAGCACCCCATGGGCCTGATCTGGGCCCCAGGCTTTGAATTTGACACCGCTGCTTTAAAAGAAAGAGAATCACTGAAAGGACTGTCAAATACGTTGCATAAAATAATCCATCACGTTCCAATTTGCTTATTCATAGTTGGTTTCATTGCAGCAATGTGTATAGGTCTCAAGTTATAGATTGTTGAAGCAATTGACCTTTTGCGTGTTCAAATTTTTTTCCTCCGACAACTTATTGCTTTCAATATAATACCTACTATGCAAAAATGTCACACATACTACGTTACGTAGGGGGCACAGCTATTGTTATTAGCCTTAAGGGCATAGCGTTGTATGCAGCCACCCTATCTAAAATAGAGAGGATGAATTCCTGGTAAATTTCTCAGTACATATAAATATATCTTGGCAATGCTTCAGGCACCCTGGCACAAGGGCTTTTGCAAATTTAAAATACAGCCCTGCCATTCAGCTGCATTCATTAGCATTCAAAAATAATTTATAACAACTAAAATAACTTTGTACTAAGAAGACAAGCAAACTCTTTCCCCAAGGCAAGATCTAGTCACCCACTGTAATTACAAACAATTTTCTCTACAGTTAATGTATGCAATTGTTCCCTTTGCTTTCCGAAATCTGGCTATGAAAGAGCTTTTGCCAGCTATCTGTCTATAAAGAAATCCTACATTAGCCCAGACATTTAGATCTGTAATCCTATCTCCATTTTTAAAGTTTGTTGGTTTATCGGTGTGGTTTGGATTGAAGGCTTTTTTGAATCAAGTTGTTGAACTAAATTACGGTTGTCAAACTGGATTTCTTTGAGGGCTGGATCAGCATTGTAGTTGTCTTCCGTGGGTCATCGGGGGGGAGGGGGGTAGACAGGATGGATGGCAAACGGGACGGATGCCTCCTACAGCACCCTGCGGGCGAAAATGCCCATGCCCCATTTTGGCCATCCAGGAGGCCATCCAGGCTGAAACCAGGGTGCAAGGGACCGACCCCCACATCTAGTTTTTGTTAGTAAAGGCACTTAGGACGGTTCTTTGCTATTTCCAGACTGGCACCATGGGCCAGACCCCTTGAGTTTGTCACCCCTGAACTAAATGGTTTTGATTTTTCAAGCTTTTAAGTTTCATAATAAATGCAGCTGGTAGGGTCAACCCAAGTGTTATCTCTCTGTTCTTTAAAACTGACTGAGGTGTCCTGACAAGGTGCAAAATCTTAAAATATGGTTTCAAATGATGCTTGTGCAGTTATTTGTGTAAGAAGAATTTGCTTGCACATGAAAAATCTGCTGCTGATTAAACACTGAGATGTGGCACTGCCCTTTTTTACAAATATATTTAGCGCTTAGTAATACAATCTGTTTACTGAAACAGTCATAGATGGTAGCACTATATCTTTTCAAGCAATGTAGTTTGAGATTGAACTCTAGCAATTAAAATGGCCCTACCTTTGTATCTTAAGGAATTGCTTGCAAAGATTACAGATTAATTCAGAGAAAAGAATAGTCAATTTGTCAGCGTGTAAAATGAAAAGACTGGTGGCCCTTGCATCCTCGAATGAAATATTCTCATAAGATTAACATGAAATTCAATACTAAATAAAGATTTATATTATAAAGGCATGCAGACTTTTAAAACAATTATATGCAATTATTAAGCCTGGCACAAGTTTATATGCATAGAGGTACAAGCCTGTTGAAAATCAAAGGTTTTGCCTTAGGGTAATTATGTAGATAATTATAGAGATTTGGGCTGTGTTTGTGTTTAATATTTCTAGTTTTTTTTTTTTAAAAAATATTGTTTCCCATTTCCTTTTGGAGTCTTTTTGATCCAAGACACTATTGTTACCTGATGTACCTGATAGTAATCATCTAGCACAGGGGTGTCAAACTGGTGGTCCATGGGCTGGATGCATCACACGCAGGCCACGCCCACCCCAGCTCCACAAAGGGGAAAAACATTACAATATGTGATGGCAACATGACGCCGTGAGTTTGACACCTGTGATCTAGGGAAGGTCATGGTTGAATTGGCACTTTAAAAGCGTCTACTTAAACATTCTGCCACATCAACTTTGAACAAAAATGTATTATAATGACTCAGCAGTTGTGAAACTCTGGAATACTTGCCTTGAATCCAAGAGATTTAAATTTTAGGAAAATACAGATGTTGTTGAAGCCTTTATCCAATGTTGTTGAGTCTGCTTGTTCTTCTGAATGCACTTCTCTAGTTTTTCCAGAAAAGATACCAGTTGTATCTTTGGGATGAGAATTTTGTTCATCAGCCACTTGTCATAGAGTCTGAAGCTGATTAAGACTGAGGTGTAACTCAACCAAAGTCATAGGTTTCTGTAGCTAAGGAAGAACTAGAACCTGATGTTCTTTGGTTCACCAGCTTAATACCACCTTAGTCCAACCACCAACTTATGCACTGTACAACATACTTCTTCCCTATTTCTGAAAATATATTGGTTTCAAAAACTAAATGAACTCAATGTCTATGGAGATTCTCAGTCATCCAGGTCTTGGTTGTCCCAAAGGTGCTTTTTCAAGAGGCAACTGGACTTTCTGGTTATTCTTTGCAGATGTTTCACTTCTCACCCAAGGAGCTTCTTTTTGGATGAGAAGCAAAACATCTACAAAGAAAAACCAGAAAGTCTAGTTGCCTCTTGAAAAAGCACCTTTGGTATAAATGAACTCAAATTAAGTTTGTTGTAGAGTAAGATGTATGATTACTGATGCTTTATTTTTTCTCAAAGATAACATTAATTTCTAAGTGCATAACTGCACCTCTTAAATTCATTTAGCTAAAGTTGTCAGATAAATATAATAATATTAGGATTTGTCATGTTTGTCTATAGAGATAGAAACTGCTATTTCCACTTCACCAGTATCAAAAGTAACTCAGTAGTAGGAGCATAGGACACCTAGTGGATGGATTAGCACTTCTTAGACCAAAATGCAGAAGCAAATGTTTTAGTATCCTGTGCAAATCAGTCACTGTGTAATCAATAACTGAAGTAAAATGTTTAATCTATCCCACTTCCTATTTAAATCTGTCTTAAAATAGAGTGGTTCTTAAATTTTGGCAGTTTATAAATTTAAAATCAACATGCATGTTCTAAGAGCACATCTTGAAAAGAGTTTCTGCTATGGGGCAGTGAATAACTAATCCGGTGTTTCTGAAACTTGGCAGCTTTAAATGTGTGGATTTTAACTCTTGGCTGTTCACTGGAAAATTCTGTGAGGTAACGATCCACACAAGTGTCAGAAACACTAGACTAGTGGTTTGCTTTTTAAGTGCATGTGTGTTTGCTTTGAATTGCTTTCTTAATTCATGCATGGAAATTTTGTATTAGATGGACCCCTTGAGCTAATCACGGGATGAAATAGATTATTTATATTGGTTTGAAATGTGTGCAAACACTTGAACTTTTAAATGGTTTGGGTATGATAAAGTAAAACAGTAGAGAAGTTGCTGTAATAAACATATTGACATATTTTTTCAACCCCCTTTACAGGTTACGACAGTGACAAAGTTAGTATTCGTTTCACTAGAATGGAGTTGTGCTTTAAATAATTGGCATGTGTGGCTGTCCTGGAATTAAAATTAAGCAAAATAGAGCCTTGGCTTTTGAAGTTAAAGCAACATAAATTGTTTGCACTTTCACTGGTGTGTTGGTTTTAATTACAATATTAAATTTTGTCATGAGTAACTGGCAAACAGTAGAGATAACAGCGAAAGAGTCTCTTTAATGTATGTGATTAGACATTAAAATGGGTGATTTTTCCCCCCCTATTGAGATAGTCAAATGTTGCTAAATGCAGTAAAAATGAAGGCATTTATTAGAATAAAATATAATTCAAGGATTTTTCAGCCTCTTTCTCTGCTCTTCCCTTATTCTCCTATTGACTTCGGGAAGAAGTAAATTTACCATGACTTTACCTTAGCTTGTGCCACCACCTTATGGCATGATATGGTAACTGCTGGTAAAAGTCAGCAAGAAATTATTCTTGAAAAACCAATTGGATACTGTTAGCTTTACCTGATATTTATGATTTAAATGAAACTCTTTTTTCCTATCTGTCTTTAATATTACAATTAACTTTCATTAACTATTTTTTTTGCTCCCATTTTCTATGTTATTCCTTATCTGTACTTGAACATCCTGGAATCGTGTCCATTGTTTGTCTCTTTTCTGTCTCTCATTCCTTCAGTAACCCTGATGAGGTGTAAGTACTTTACTAATCACTCTCTTAATGTTTGAGCTTCAGTTTATATAAAATAATTGCTGTATTCTGTAGACAGACTTTTTGAATTAACTTCCATTTCCTCTAAGTTTGGTAATAGGTTTTGTAATAATATTTTTTGTTTTGTTGAAAGAATTGAAAAAAAAATGCAGTAAATTAACTTTCTCCAGTCGCTGTTCTCCAGATGTGTTGAACTAAAATGACCACCTCTCTGTGGTGTATTCTATGACCTAGGAATGATCAGAATTGTTGACATTGTAGTACATTAGTAGAATTGAGAAAGATACTACATTGGGTAAGGTTGAATCTGAAAATTATATCCTTTCCTCTTTTTTCTATTCAGTATTTTATTTAGAGAATTTTAGTCTGTAAACAGGGGTACATCTGTATTCATCATTAATTGGTTCCAGGAGGTGTGATGAGTACCAAAAATGATAAGTACTATACAAATTTTTCCCATAAGCTATAATGTAGGAACAAGGCAATCGACATCTGATAAGTTATAGCTTATGCATTGAGTATCAAGCAAAGAATGAGTACCGGGACAAAATTTTCACATCAAAATATGTTGAGTACCAAATTCAGTGAAGACAGATTTACAGATTAACAGAGTTGGAAGGGACCTTTTAGGTCATCTAGTCCAACTCCCCACCCAAGCAGGAGACCCTACATCATTTCTGACAAATGGCGGTCCAACCTCTTTTTAAAAGTCTCAAAGCAGTTGAGTACCAAGGTACCACAGTAATTACTTTTATTTTTTTAGTGTAAGATGAAAGTATGACAAAGAGAAGTAAATGTATACACCAAATTACTGAATTCACTTGTAAAAGAGAAATACAGTATCCGAAAGTTTAGGAAGGAGTTTGATACTAAACAACAGAAGAAAGATCTGAATAGCAAGAGGTAGCTCCAGAGTGAACATGATGAGTTTCTGTGCGATAGAAATTGTTAAGCAGAGGTAGGAAAATCACCTGGATTTTTAGATGGTCTTTGTGATCTTCTTATACGAGATTCTATAATCCTGTTCAGGTATTGTAAAAAAAGGACCAGTCACAGTCGGGGTTGCAATGAGTAACCTATCTTCTCAGTAAAGTTGGGGGTTGCAATGAGTAACCTATCTTTTCAGTAAAGGTGAGCTGATGTCTATGAAGTTGACCAGGTAGAGGGTAGTTAATAGTGGAGAGCCTTTTCTTATTCAAAAGTAATTATAAAGGATCCCACATTTTGAAGAAAAAAAAAACATCAATATGCCCAGTAGAATCAAACATGGGGGTTTTGTTATTGTTGCTTGTGGAGTAATTGGCTACATGCATATGATTGTTTTTAGTAGCTATATAAGCTTCAGTGACAGGTTGGGAGTTTGCCAATTCATCCCTCAGGTTTCTGCCAAGCTTAAGTGAAGAAATTGAGAGGGTGAAATGAGCCTCAAGTAAGCCAACAGGTTTTTTTCCTTGGGAAAATAAAATAATTATTAAATTATTTTGTTTGGTGACTTGTTAATAGTAGCAGCAGTTAAACGTAATACTTATAATTCTTTTCTCTTTCTTTCTCCTCCTTACGCTGGAACTGTCTTGTATTCTATTGCCTTGCTCTTTCCAATACAATAAAAGGAAAAATCCACCTAAACGGTAATAGCCAAAATCATGCCTTTTTGAAGTTCAATATTATGTGCTGTTTTTAACTGTGGCCTTTATTTTTGATCAGGGTGGGGATGGGGAGAGGGAGTGAGGTGTGATAATTTACAGTTTGCCTAAAATGGTTCTGCACACCCATAACTAATTTTTGTACCATTCCAAATTCTACTTGTTATCTTTTCTACCAATTTAACTATTGCCTTTCTCTCCTTACTCTTTGCTGAATAGTAGTAATAGGATTTCCTTCCTTCCTTCCTTCCTTCCTTCCTTCCTTCCTTCCTTCCTTC